GGGCCAAGCCTGGCCGCTCAGGCCTTCTTTTTTTGTGTTGTTTTTGTTTTGTTAATTCAGTGCTCTTCAAAAATTAGAAATAAAATGTAGAAAAATCACAAAAATGCCAAACCAATTTTGTTACTCTCCTAAAATCATGATCTATCTGATAGTGTATTTTGTTCGCATAGGTTTTGTAGGGTTTTTATGGTTGCTCTAATTATTTTATATGCTTAATATTGTTTAGACATAAACTTGTAGGAATTTCTGTGATAAATCGGTGATAGTGTTAGCTCTAAAAATATTACAGTAGGTTAGAAGTGTTATAAGGTGTTCTCTGTAATTTTTGTAGCCCAATAATAACTAGTTTACTAGAGTAGTTAATGTGCCCTAGTTTCGAGTGTATTAAAGCATTAATGAATCAAAAAGAGACTTGATTTGGTAAGAATTAGTACTTGTTGATGAAAATGATGCTTGTTTAGTGAGGTCAATACTTAGCTAATATATTAGTCATAGGAGTTAGCTTGTTAGCTTGGTTTATCCACTCGTATTTTACGAATTGTTGTTGCCTTTTGATTGATTGCGCCATCTCTACATTTGCATCAATACATATCATAATAGGAACGACGATGGATCGATGGTATCAAACGGAGTAGCTGAAAAGATGGTGCCAGGAATTAGGACACAAAGATGGAATACTAACATTTGGTTATATTTTACCCAGGTAAGCCCCGGTGCATAACCCCTACTTTTCTACATTTTATATTATGTTGTGCATTAAGTTTTAAGGAGTTGAATGAAACCCACTTGCATATATATACCTTTATCCTATGAGTCTTACTAGTATGATAGGATCGTGTAGATTGCTATGCTAAAGAACTCTGATAGAAATCAAGTGATTGCCTGTCACTCGTGAGAGATAGGAAATATATTATTGTTGTTACTATATTATTATCACTTGGAATGTATATATGAATGATAAATGGAGACCGAGCAGGGATATGGTTTGGGTATTGGTAGGTGTAAGAGGTTGTGTCCTGGGGCCAACGGGGCATAGCTTGGTTACACTGTTTTTCCTATCTATTTCGGTTAAGGACCGACCGTTGCATTAAACTCTAGGCAGGTCATAGACTTATTATCCTGAATACATACTTGTGTATGGGCACGGAAAGACTTGTTACTCTCTTGTCATGGGTTTTGGCTCTTGACGGACCGACTTTCAAGGGGGGTTTTGGGTGGAGGTCCAAGCACCGCTCTGAGTCCGGGACTCAGGAGCGGGGGCTTGGAGTCCAAGTTTGGATGAGGACCTGGACCCCATGATAGGAGGGTAGTGGGTTGGTCTTGCTTGTGCCTGGGGTATAAGCGGAGGCGTGTGTTTCAGGGTACCTAAGTGGGCATGTTGATTCACGAATCGCTGGGGCGATCCGGTATGACTTGTCTACAATCTAGCACCGTAGTAAAAACTGGAAGATAAAATATGATAAAATGATTCTAATTGCTTACCACCTGCTTGAAAGTAGTACATGTGCTTACATAGAATGACTAGTAATGAACTAATGATGACTGCTAATAAAATCGAATATAAGGACGCACGTTTAGTAATGCTCCTTTAGATGCAATAAATCCATAAGCCAGATAGCCTTGCGTATCCTTGAAGTCTTTTCTTTTCTCCTATCGGGTAAGTCTTGCTGGGTACAATTGAGTACTCAGGGTTTTATTTCCCCCTATTGCAGGTGACAGGCGGATGCTAGAGCTGACTCTTGTGTGTGGATTCCTCCTGGTGGGCTCAGAGGGGATTCCTTTGCTCTACGATCATAGTCTTTATTTATAACTCTCACCAAATATTTTTATAAATAGAAGTTCTATAATCTGATGTCCTAGCTTATATACCAATGCTTCGTTATGTCACGAATAGATACTTATTTCTGCTATAACTCTGATCACATGTTTATATTCCGCTGTTACATTAAATTGCTCATAACTCTGATGTTGTATTAAAAGTGATGTAAGAAATGGCTAAAATATTGTAAGGTTTATTCTCTTATTTGTGATCCTGCTGGAAAAATATGGATTTTTGGGTTTTCCCTTGGGTTGTGCTCGACGGAACTGCGTAATTTGATGTCCTCCCTTGAGTACTTAGTGTCTAACAGAAGACAAGTACTCCTGGGAGGCATTAGATTATGCGGTTCTGCCACACCCATCACCAAGATCGGCAACATATAGATACCCGACTTCTTCAAAATTCTTAAAATGAGTTATAATTTGGGATGGATGGAATATTAAATATGATCATGAGCTACTTGACCCCACCTACAAGTTCGGTGGGTGCAAGCCGTCGATTTTGTCCTAAAGTGAAAATCAGATCGGGGCAAGGGTCTGATTTTTAGCCTCTTCGCCGGCCTGACAGTAGAATAAAAATTACTGTAGCCCATACTTTTGTTTATTCGATAAAAAATAGTATTTTGATTTGCAACTTTGGTGATGGACTGACCCCCCCCCCCCCTTTAATAAAAAAAACAGCGTTTTAGCCCTTATAAACTTTTAAACTTATTTGTTTTTGCACCCTGAATGATTTTGCATAGTAGCAGTTAACATGGCGTCAAGGAGGATAAAGTTGTCTTCTTTAATAATTTATTTTAGAGAGGTAATTCGAACGGGAACTATTTTTTTAATATTTTTCCTTAGAAAAGTGAGGCAATAAAAAATCCCTAAAATCTAGTTCAATCTTGGAAAATCACAAAGAGTTTTTTTAGCTCAATAAACTATGAAACCAATTTCATAGTTTTCTAAAACCATGTTCTATCTTATGACGCCTAAATTAAAACTATCTGTCTTTTATGGACTCATCTTTGCTTATTTCATGCTCTCAAATCTATTATAATTAGTCTATGACAATGGTCTAGACTACAAAAAATTTATGTGACTTTGGTGACAACATATTTGTCATGTAATGATATCACCATATCATACTCAATCCTATTTAGGTCCTATTTGGTACTGCATTGGGGAGAAGCACTTTCCGGAGACACTGCACAAATGGGAGAAAAGCGCGGATAAAATAATTCTGAACCAGAGCGTTCCCTAGCGAGAGTAGTCTGTGTCACTTAGCCTTCTACGTACTTTGGTTGTTAACCTCAACTAATTTGAATAAATAATGCAATATTCAAATAATTTTCAATCTAGGCACCATAAAATAGAGCATGATTTTAGGGAAAAATTTTAAATAGGTTTGATAATTTTCTAAGCTACCATTAATTTTCTAGGATTTTTATAAGATTAAAATATATTTTTAGGATTTTTAATTGCATAGAATTTCTTAAAAATGGTAATTTTTCAAAAAACAAATATTTATGATCCAACCCAAACTATCATAAAATCTTATTTATCCCCTTACTGCTTACGTCACGTTGTTAATGTGGCGCCACATCACACAAAAGCGCCAAAATCACTTAGGGCGCAAAACAAACGATTTTATAAGTTGAGAACGATTAGAAATCCAATTTATAATTTTTTGAGAAAAAAATCCAATTTATAAATGAAGAGGGAAAATCACCACGAAAGTTGTGGGAGGTTGAAAGGACTTTTTTTTCTTTATTCAAACGACACATCAAATTTAATCAACCACATCCACGTAGCCCAGCATGCAAGAGCCCAACTAACCATAGTATTTTTCGAAAAAATCTATTCTACCTTCCTATCTGTTGTCATAATTTTATTTTTCTCCTTAAACTTTAAAACCGAGATCTTACCCTCTTAAAATTATTTAAATTGCCTCCCACCCTAATTTAGAGTGGTTTTGAATTTTGAAGGCACTTGTTTTTTTAGTTAAAAAAATCTATAAGGGGTCATTTCGATCTTTTAATTTTCTGGGAATTGGAATCTACTTATTAGACTATGCTATTTGGCATAGAATTTGATATTCCACAACTTTCCAAAATTCACATATAACCTATCTCAAATTCATGGTGTGTGAGATAAAAATTGATTCTATAGATAACCATACTATGTTTCTACTTTGCAACTTATAACACATTTTTCATCTCACTCCCCTATGGTAGAAATGCAACACACAAGTATCTCTCGTATGGCCCACTGTAATATACAAATATATTCCATATACAACCATATTAGCTTAACTAATTTGTGTCTAAATCATTATTACTAAAATGAATTCAATTCCAGGTATCAAACGGGGCCTAAAGGTTTTTAAACTACAGGCAATGCTTCACAGTTTCTAAATTTTCAAAAAAAATATATTATTGAGAATGATTGATATAGAAAAATCCAAATAAAATATTTATAACTCATGAAAATATTTCTAGCTGTTTTAAAAAGATTTAGTTCTAGGAAAATAAAAAATATCTAATTTCTTTTGAGAATTCTAAAAACATTCTAATTGATAAACGTATTTTGAAGATCATGACCACACGCCTAACGGTTCTGGATAGGTAGCATGATGATCCACTTGAACCAGGACCATGGCCCGTAGTATCAGGGACGACATGGTCATTGGGCCAACAACTGTCCATCCTAACTGACAACGGTTCTGGTCATTGGAGTGAGTTTTTTTTACCTTAGGTCCGATGAGGGCTTAAGTAGGAGCTCTGCTAGAGTTGCTCTGACTAGTAAAAAAACTGTATGTCCTCACTACATATGCCAACCTTCAGTACCCCCCCTGTCTGTCCTAACCATATGCCAACCCCAGTACCCCCCACACACACACACACACACACACAAAAAGGTTCTCATGAAGATCCACTAGTACAAAAGCATTCTTTGCACGCACGGCTTTGTCTCAGTTGCTGCAATTTACTTGTCCACTCAAACAAAACCATCACAGAATCACAGTGAAGAACTGACGACTGCAACCGAACCGCAGAGCTAACGAAAAAGGTTGCTCAGTCAGAAACGAAGACTGAAGATGGTGGTTTATTGAACTAGACATGACTCCACTGAACAAGTACTTATTCTTATTGTACGACAATGGCACTGCAAATGCAGTTCCTCTTGCTCTTGCTCAACTAGGTAAGGCAGTTGATGAACTCAACGGCTGTTGCGACCGCGCCAGCGGTAATGGCATCCTTAATGATCCTGTCTCTGTGGTTGTTGCTGGCGCCGGAGATCAGGGCACCAGATAAGGCGCCGGAGATCATCGCATTCTTCTGCAGGGTCATGAGAGCAGAAGGGGTTAATGAACACCAAAAGATGACTCAAAACATGGGTGGAATGAAAATGAAATGGTTACAGATTCAACAATTTTTATGATGAGGTGCTTAATGGTTTCAAACAACAACACACTGTATGAAGACTGAAGACCTATCTTGTCCTAGTCTTCTACATAGATGGACATCAGTAAAATTTCTAATTAGCATCAGATGTTGCAAAAACCTTGATGTATGAGGTACCAGTGCCATACAGAGCTTCAACTTTTATTTATACTATTCATAGAACAAAAATGTGGCCTAACACTAAAAAGGTCTAGATTTCGAACGGGCATGTTACTTTTCAGCAACAGGCAAGCGGGTTTATTTCGCCTGAGATGATGTTCAATTAACCACCATACAACTGAAAGATATACTCATGTAATTCTTACCCAGTCGTTACGACCACGGACCCTTTCCACGCCATACACCATGCCCACATAAACTCCAGCAACAGTACCTGTGTGTTAGACAAATAAACATCTGAATTAGTCAGAGTATAAATGAATAAGGGAAAGAAGCCAACACAAATTATTTTGGTTTAAAGCGACAAAAAGGCACAAATTAGTCAATTAGTTACCCCAATATGCACCCTCCCTGCACATTTTCTTCAGTTGCATACATATTGAGAAAGTGTATCAGTTTGATGTGTAGACCAGAAGTTGCTCAAAGATTTTTCAGGGATACACAAGCATGATGCAAGATGCAAAAGAGGTGCAGGGGTTTAGTTCAACGTTTCCAGTAACACAGAATTCCTGAGATGACAGTACACTAGATTGAGACTACAACTAGAGATCCGCAGTATTCATAAGTCATGGCATGCGTTTTTAGAATGTCAAGTAAATCACGAACCACAATTAGGAACTGCAAGCAAAGAATAACCTAACTGGCAATGCTAGGCATTTGGATCATGATATTTAAGTTCCCTGATTGAAATGGGGCCTGGAGCTAGAACAATAAAAAAAATACAAAGGTTGTGGATATATGACTTACGGCATGCTCAATCCTGTGCTTTGAAACATCCCCTGCAAAGAAAAGAGGTTTTGTCATAACAATTTCTTCTCTGATTGCCAGTAAAATGTAGCACAAAAAAATGCAAGCATATGATTTCATTGTCAGTAAACAACAGGAATACATACTGCTATTATTCTGAAATAGCATTGGTTAAATTCAAAGTTGAGGCAAGTCTTCAGTAAGATCCATTGAAGTAATTAACGACCATTTGAACCGGCTCCGGCCCAAGATTGGGAACTAGTACTAGCGTGTACATATGGAGTGAATCTTCAGTAACAAAATCAGTTTATTCTCGCAATTTCAGTCATTGAATCATGACTGAATGTAAAATGCAGGCTACAGAAATGTGCAGAAAAACTCAATAAAGACTGGATGTGAGATATGCAGGCTGACTACAAATTACAGTCTGGGGTTATGTCTGCGCCCCCTTGTTTTGCTCTCTGAATTCACTTGCAGAGGCAGAGAGATTGCAGTCCGTTGTCCATAATCCCATATTACATCATGATTAATAATCTATCTATATGCGTAGAGTAGAGCGCGACGACCAAACGTTTTGGGGGCAACATCGTATCAATCTCTGACATGCGTGCGGCAAAATCGAAACTTTTCCCATCTAAACAAGGGTTCCTGGGCTGTGGAATGCAGCATGACTGAAATACTGAATACGAACAAAGAAGAAGAGGAAGGGGGAAGAATGGCAGCAGAGGCAGAGAGGCGGCACGCACGCACGCACCCCTGGCCCTGTGGAGGCACTCGAAGGTCTCCTCGGCGACCACCTTGCAGGCGCCGACGGCGCCGATCTTGAGGAAGCCGTCGACGGTGCGGTTGAGGAAGGGATTCCCCGTGTCGATGAGGACGTCGATCTTGGGCGACCTGAGGGACCCCGAGAAGCCGCCGAGGGGCATCGTGGCCTGGTCCTACCTTCCTGGCGAGGCAGTGGCAGGTCAGCTCTGTGTACTGTGTGTGGCAGTGTGTGAGAAGAGAACTAGAAGGAGGATCGCCTGGGCTGGCTCTCTCACCTCGAAGAAGATAAAGAAGTGGGATATTGGGCGGTGGCGGACGGTGGCTGCAACCTGCAGGCACGAAATCGGCGGCAATCCCCACGGCCTGTTCACCCCCTGGTTTAGTGGTTTGCAACTGCTAAGAGGGGCCACAGGTCAGCTCCTCTCGTGAGGCCCGTGCGCCTCCATGGATTGGTCTTCCTCTCCTTTATCCTCTGCTTCCTTGGCGTGGTGTGCAGTTGCAGTGCTGACGTGCTGTTGGTGTTGGTGGCGCGGACAAAACGAAAACGAGGGAGACCGACGTCCAGTGTGGTCCGTGGAAGCATGGACGGCCCAGAACGAACCCAGCTACGTGCAAGCAACCTATGTCTATGTCATGTCAGGATCGCGCTCGTGAGGCTCACTGCTGTACAGCTGCTCAGATGGTCTACTGCCTCATGAGTCATGAGTTCAAACTGAGCGTTGTTTGTATGTATCCATAATTTGTTGAGTTAGATCGAGACGTATAGGTCGTCATTGGTTGGTTGTTCAGAGCAAGAACAATACAAACTTCAGCTTATGTTATAGCTAAGCTAACTCAGCATAATCCGACGTGGAAGAGAGAAAGAAATGGGCGCTACATGTAGGGATGAAAATGGTACGGATATTTTCACACCGTATTCGAAACCGAATCCGTTTAGAGGGGTTGAGATCTGTCTGTATCAAGTCTGGATATCCAACATCCGATACCATATCCGTATCCATATCCGAATACTCAAATCGTATATTTATGATGTCGATATCCAATCGTATCCTATCCGACATAGTTAACACTATCCATATTCGAATCCGAATCTAAACAGAAATATAAAACAAATATAATATCGGTGATATCCGTCCGTATCCAATCCTACATGTAGCGTAGCAGGGCGGTGGCATGCCAACTCCTCGTCCCGGTTGAGGGGCCCACCACCACTACATCTGCTCACATCTTGCATGCCGTTGTGGGCCAGCAACTTGAGTGTTGTGGTAAAGGCTAAAACAACTGTTTTTCACCATATTAAGAGGGTAGTTTAGGGACTAGTATACAATTTAATAAAATTTAAAATGTTTTTTTATAAAAGTTACAGAAATAAAACACTAGAATTTAATTAACTTTTGACTAAAAGAATTAGAGCAACTAATAAGATTCAAATTTAAAAGCCAAAATCAAGATTTACAATGTCATGACACATATGCTGCAACAAGAGCTCGCATAACTCAAGTTAAGGTTTGAACTAAACACGTATTAAAGATTTTTTGAAGCACGATGCAAAAGAAAAAAAACTCTGAGTATGAATGGAAAAATATATGGAATAATTGCAAAGGTAATCATAAATGGAAAGACATATCATATTATCGATATGCATATTGTGTTAGAAAAATGAAAAATAGATAGCGAGTGTAAATATATGCAATTTTGAGTAGTTGGAGGCACATAATTCATTTGTAAACTTTTATTACTTGCTCCTAATTAAAATTCTAGTTCGTGCGACGAGCACTTTTGATGAACTAGTTATTGTCAATTAAAGTATATGTAAGGATTTGAAGTGTTTTTCTATCGTTAATTCTTTAAAGTTGCCCATGAGATACCTTGGGGACGGAGGCATCAAACAAGGGCCATGACTAATGGCTTAATTAACATAAGGATTCTCTCCACATACATCATCAGTACCGTCATATAAAAGTATATATGAAAAAGAATTCTTCAACTTACAAATAATTCCTAAGTGAATTTCCCATCAACGTGACTATAGTGTGTAGTTGTTTACTCATCAAGAACAGATTAGACTACCTCAACCATCACACACATACCAGTGTCTCCGCAGCTCTGCTTTCCGAGCCTAGCTTCCACGATCAGTTTTTCCAAAGGCGCGGTACAACATGACGGTGCCTTGTTCGCTTGAATTTATCAGCCCGGCTTATTAGCTATGGTATAATATTTTTCTCTCACAACAAAACAACATCAGCTAGCTTAATCTAGAACAAAAATATTAACCCACAGTACAAATAGGCCGACCAAAGAGGTGGGCGAGGCTTGGTGACTGACGAACGAAGGGCAGTAGAAAAACGACATGTGGTAGGAAAGGGGATGGGTGGGCAATCCCAGAGAAATTTCAATATGTGACCATGAGTTCGCGTGCCTCTCTAGAATTGAGATTTAATTCACTAGTAGAAATCTCCACTTCTATGATGATTTTCTTAATGATGGATCCGAAATCGTCATAAAAGATTGTTCTTATGACGAATTTTTCTGTTTCGTCATAGATAAGTGGTGATGATCCTGCAACCCTCCATTTCTATGACTAAATCAGGCATCGTCACAGATCACTTATGCGACTCATCTGTGACGATCTCCTTTAGAATCATGACGAACAGGGCTTTATCATTCAACTAATTACACATCTGTGATGAACAATATTCGATCTATAACAAACAGCTTCATTAAAGATCTACACACGGTACTTTCTCTATCCGACGTGTACTGGTGGGACCTACAGTTACTCATCTGTGAACCTTGTAATTCATCATAAAAGTCTCTGCTCGATCCTTTCTATACCTGTGGGACCCTTCTCCATCCGACGAGTACATGTGGGAACTGCAGTTACTCATCCGTGACGCTTGTAATTTATCATAAAAGTCTCCACTCGGTCTTTTGACCGTCCGGCGTGTACCTGTAGGACCCTTCAACATCCGACCTGTGGGACCCCATGGCTTACGTGTCACGTGTACCTATGGAACCGTTCTCCATCTCCATCTGACGTGTGGGACCCGGCGGCTTGCGTGTCATGTATACCTGTGGGACCATACGACCTGTGGGACCCGATGGCTCACGTGTCACATGTACCTGTGGGACCTTTCTCCATCTCCATCCGACCTGTGGGACCCGACGGCTTACGTGTCACTTGTGCCTTTTGTGCCGCTGGGGGCTAATAAATTAAAAAAACTCAATGCCTGGGAGTCGAACCCGGGATCCGGAGGAATGAATGCATGGTCTTTACCATTGCGCTAGATGCCTGGTTGTATTGACATATCTTTAGAGCCTTTATTTATAGTATTATATATTGGATATTTCCCCTTAGACTAGCGGCGGCGGCGGAGGATCCCTGGTGTCCTGTGGTGGCTCCGGCGTCCTTTTAGAGGCTAGGCGGCGGGGCTTGCCGGTGGAGCGCGGTGACATTGGTGTCTATGTTGTTGTGTGACACGACAGAGGCGACATATCCGATCCGCAGGTCTCCTTTCTCGCCTTTTCCTGTTTGCTTCACTATTTTAGTCCTTGCTTGAACATGAGGTATACAAAAAACATTCTAGCGTTGGAGATCTGGTTAGGCCAATGATATGATGATGAAAAGAACTAGGAGGTGGCACTGATTGGTTTTTTGCTGAAGTCTTGGTTTTCTACATATGTTCAATTTTATTACTGTAAATGTCTCCTATGGAAGAAGCTCTGAGCTTGTGTACTGATTGTAAGTGTGATGGATAGACTTAATTTAGCTGGAATTGTAATGGTTATAGCTCCACTAATTGCTACTCTAGTTTGAGTTATATATATCTATGTGGTGCTACTCTAAATTTAGATGAGGTCGTACCATGAAAATTATTAATGGTTGTTAAAGTTGCACTTTGGTATGAGTTGTGAACTTCACTCTTGGATCTTTGTTGGATTATTTTCCTCTTCAGTGATCTCATTACTGAGCAAGCTCTCATCCTATTGGACACAAATGAAATGGAGGAGCCCCCAACAAGAGGAACACACTGGCCAGCCTCACGGACGATGCCATTGTCGAGATCCTCTGCCACCTCCCCGCCCGCCCCTTGTTCTGCTGCAAATGTGTCTGTCGCTCCTGGAACCACCTCATCTCGAACAACTATAACTTGAACCCCAGACTGTGGTCGGCTTCTTCTACGATGGATTCTTCGGCCAACGAAACTTCATCAGCATCTCTGGGGTTTACCCCCTTGTCCTTCTTGCCCTTCACCATGAACAATATAGCTGTCTTAGATTGCTGCAACGGTCTCATCCTATGCTGGTGCCTTGGAGCTGATGGATACCGCTATGTCATCTGCAAATTCGGCAACCCAGAAGTTTAAGGAACTGTCGCCAAGAATCTATTCTGTTGGTGAGGCTTGATTGGGGTTCGATCCAACAGCCTCCTCGCACATCCATATGTTTGAATATATGGAGGAGAATGGTCAGTGCGTGGATGCAGACATCGACTCATCTAAAACTATAGCATGGATGTTTAAGGAATCTAGATGGGACGAGAAGGCTCAGTTAACATTTTCAAAAATAGGAACTGTGTTTCTTAATGGTTGTCTGCACTATATTGGGTTCTGCGATGGTTACCGTCATATACTTGTTGTGGATATGGAGGGAAAGACATGGAGGAAAATTCCTAACTAGACGTGTGGTCCTGGTTTTCCATTCCCATTCGCCTTCCTTCAAAATCAGTGTCACTTGTGTCAATGTACTGTTGGTGGTCGCAATATGTCCGAGCTTTCAATCTGAATCCTTAAAGACTATGGTACTAATAATAAATGGACATTGAAGCATACTATGAGCCTGCATAAGTTGGGTTACTTTGATTTTCTGTCGTGCTATAGAGTGGTTATAGTTCACCCAGAATGGAATTTAATTTTCTTTGTTGGGGTTGGGCTGGAAAGCGCTATCATCGCATATAACATGGACAGCAAAAAAGTTCATCTCATCCCTACACATTACGTTCAGTATGGTACACGTGACATCCTGCCAGCAATGAACAACATACCTACCAATTTTCTTTATGTTCCCTTGTTCTCGGAGTTGGAGTCATTAGCAAAGTAGTAAATAAAGCTACATTTGATGTATCTTTCTGTTATGACATGTTTAAATGGATCAATGTTGT